ATCTTGATACCTTAGGCAAAGGCTTGTTCAGACATTCTTCTAATTAGAAGGAAGGCCAGACCTTTTCATTTTTAAAACTTTTCCTGGTTCTGAGTATGATGGGGCAGTTACAGCCAACCAATGATCTAATTTAAAACAATTAAGTGAGCAGATACAACATTAGACATCTAAATGGAGACATCAGCAAACAGCTGAGGCAACCAGGACTTAAGATGACACAATATTAAAGAATGGGAAACTAGCCCTGGAGGTGACATGATATTCTCCATCTCCTTTGTCCCTCAGGAAAACTCAGCGTAAGACCAGTCTGAGTTTTGGAACAGAACCAAGAAAGTGGCCCCAAGAGGCAAAGATACCAGCAGGGATTTTGGCAGCTAACCAAGGTTGGAGAGACAAAACATAAAGACCAGAGGGGCCAGATTCTCAGTGAGAAGAGGTGAATGAGCCCAATACACTGATAGTTTCTCACAGGTCACTTGCCAAATTCTGAAGATGAATGGGAAAGAAAGCTAAACTACCAAGCAAAAAACCTCTGAAAAGCAGAGTGGAGGTGTTTTTCTTTGTTGTTGTTGTTGTTTTGTTTTGTTTTACTTTTTGTAGTCTCACAGTTCTGAGGAAATGAAGATTAGACTTCAGTATCCATGGGGATCAAGGGCGCCCTGGTACACACAAGATTCTCAGTTGGAATACCTGGAGGGCTGTGCTATAGGAACAGTAGCAAAAAATGTAGATTAAGCCTTGGCAAAACCTATCCTCAAGTTAGTTCAGTTTCTGATTGATTAAGGTGTTAGCTCTCATCCTGACTACTTTGTAGAGGACAGAGTGAAACCTCTCTTAATGAAAATAATCTTATCCAGAGCCACTATAACTTTTTACACTTCATGTGTGGCATTCTATTAAAAATTACTAGGCAGGCTGAGAGGCAGTAAAAACAAAACGACCAAAAACCAATGGAAAGAATATACAATAGAAATAGACCCACAGAAGATGTAGCTATTATAATGATCTGAAAGAGATTTAAAATTGCTAGGATTGATATATCAAGAAAGTATAGGCAAAGGTGGAGAAAATAAATAAAAAGAGAATTTCTCCAAATGCATTGGATTTTATTTTCTTTAAAAACCATATGAAAATTCTAGAACTTAAAAACAGAATGACCAATATTAAGAGCTCAACAAACAGAATGAAGAGAAGATTTAGATAGGTAGGTACAAAATATACAGACTCATGCACAAACAGGCAAAAAAGATGAAAGGAAATACAGATGGTAAAGAGTGAAAAATTCTGACATATATATAACTGAAGTCCTAAAAGGAAAAAAGAGATAAGGAGTGATAGTGACAAAGAATTTTCTAAAACAGATAAAAGATATCAAGCTACAGATTCAAGGAACTCCTTGAGAGGCATTCATCCCACCCCAGAACCCAAGTGGGTTAACTACAAAGAAAACCACATCTAGACATACCACAGGAAAACTGTTGAGAACTAAAGAAAAAAAAATACTAAGAGGAGCTAGGGGAAAACACACATCACTTTTCAAGAGTGACAAAGCAGTGATGGAAATTGGGGGGCAACTTCATTTTTTTAAAAAAAGATTTTATTTATTTATTTGAGAGAGAGAGAGAGCAAGCAAAAGCAGGGAGAGGGACAAAGGGAGAGGGAGAAGCAGACTCTCTCTGCTGAGCAGGGAGCCCCATGCAGGGTTTGATCTGAGGACCCTGAGATCATGACCTGAGTCCAAGGCAGATACTTAATCAACTGAGCCACCCAAGCATCCTCAGGGGACATCTTTAAAATGCTGAGGGGAAAAGAAATTACTAAATTAGAACTGCTATACCCAGCAAAAATATTAAGGATAGAAGGAAGTTTTTAGACAAACAGAAATGGAGAGATCTTGTCACTACTTGACCCGCTCTTAATAGAGGAATTATTCAAATAGAAGGGAGAAAGGGAGAGAACGTGTCACTACTTGACCCGCTCTTAATATAGGAATTATTCAAATAGAAGGAAAAATTCCAGGCAGGAGCACATAAATGCATATTGGAACAAGGTGTACCTTAAAGGGTAAATATGTAGGTAAATATGATGCGTATTGATTGTACAGAAAAATGATTATAAAAACTTATATGGCTTAAAATATATGCACAATTAAAATCCATGACAAAAATAAACACACCAAAAAGGGGAAGGGGTAAGTGGAAGCATAGTGTTTTAAGGTTTTGGTATTCTTGGGGAAGTGGTAAAAGTAATCATTTATTTTAGAGTGTAATAAGTCAAACAGTCATGTTGTAATCTCTGACTTCTAAATGAATGTATAATTAATAAGCTAATAGAAGAAATTAATGGCATAATGAAAATTTTTAATTCAAAAAAGGCAACAAAGAACAGAATAAGGGATATGAATAAGTGGGCAAAAAGAAATAAATAGTAAGATGGTATGTATATATCCAAATACAGCAGTAATTATACTAAATATAAATGGACTAAAACTTTTCCTGTTGAAATAAGGATAAAAGAGCCTTCTTATTTTTGGGTTAGCTGAACTCTGCGTAAAATGTAATTAACAAATATAACTGAAAAGGTAGGGTTTCCTAGAGCAAAATGTGGAAGGGGTAAGTAGCTTTCAGCTGCCAATCCTCCAGAGCTGAATTCTGACTAAAATTTGAAGGAAGAAAAGCTGTCCTTTCAGTGCTAGGGATTGTTTGTTTTTTTTTTTTTTTTAACATGCAAGATATGAGAGCTTTGATCTTTGTTGCAAACCATTTATTCTGAGAAGACCTCTTGAATGTGCCATTAAATTATGCAAATGTAAAGCAAAGACTCTCTATGGAAGTTGTTTGAAAAGCTAAACTGCTTTGTTGTTGCAAATAGTTTTATATTCTTGCTACTAGGAGCTTAAACTCCAGCTTGTTCTTTTCACAGGAATGCCTATGGTTAGTTTTCTTCCAAACTATCAAAAAGCAAACACAACACATCTCTGTATTATTTTTCTTGTGAAGACTACATACTAGTCTCATACGAAGAACTCATTTACTATTAATACAACTTCGTCTGTCCTCTTTGCGAAATAAAAACCTTATTTTATTTCTCTATGAGAATCCCCACTCTCCCACTGCGTTTTGTTGTTGTTGTTGTTGTTGTTGTTTATCCTTCTGAATGTATTTCCATTACAAGTAGCTCCCGTTTTACCTGAGACTGCATCTGTCTGATTCATCTAGTTTGGAAAATATCCTTTCTAATAGATTATTTTATATTCTCAAATTTCTCTCATCTGGGGATGTGGCTTGGAAGTAAGTGATGAAGAATGATTCAGTAAATCTCACCACACCACACTTCTGTTATCAGTGTTAATACTAGAATACAGAGTTGGCTGGACCACCATCTGAAGATATAAATTCCTATGTTATTACTGAATGACTTAGATGGTCTGTGGTGTAGAACAATAAGGCTAAGGATTAGAATGGAGAAAAGCTAAAGAGATAAACAAGGCAGGGCTGGTGTTGGGGGTAAAAATTCCGTCTTTTTCTTAGTGGCTGAATACATGTTCACTCACTAGGAACTTTTTTTTTTTTTGAGTCTGTGCTGCTTGTACAAGACTATATCACTGGAGATGCAGAGGCATTCCCAAAGAGCATATGTCTGGTAATATATTAAAAAAATGTATAGAAGAGCAACATATCAAGTGCCGAAGGAACAGGGCAAGTGGTCAATACTACAAAAATTCAGAAAGAAAATACAAATCAAAGTTAAGGCAGTGAGTGAAGGGGTGGTCTTTAAAAGGTAAAGCTGAGATAAAATGAGGTGGTGTTGGGGAGAACTGTCTACATAGGGGCGGGACACAAAACAGTTAAAGGTCCAGTAGCAGGAAAACACTTCCACTAAAAATTATTAAGCATTTAATATGTCTTTTCATTTGTCACTTACTGCAGGGGAAAAAAAAATGAAGTATGACTCAATCTCTGCCTCAAGGAGTTTAAACTAGATGAGAGACAAGACAAAGAAACATATATGTCACCCGTAGAAGACAGGCCACAAGAAGTGCCAGTTCGCGGCTCAGCTATCAATTCGGTAAAAAGCAACTCTGCACAGGGCATGGGTAAAAAACAGGCGGCGGAACAAAAGAGACCAAGGTTTCAAACTCAGATGTGTGCCACAAAAAACCTGTGTGACCTTGTGCAAGTCACAGGACACAAGTGACTTGGGTCTTTCTATAAAAATGGCTTGCTAAGGTCCAACAAGACTCTATGTTGTGAGGAGGATGAAGTCATTGTGGCGAAAGGGCTTGATATGGGTGTCTGAGTTTCCACCCTCTCTGCCCTCCTCTTTTTCCTACAGTAGGGTAAGATGTGTGGGATGAGAGGTAGAGCAACAAGGGAATCATAAGAGGAGGCAACTTCCTCCCGCCCTTTGTCCCCTCCTCACTCCCCCAGCTCTCGACCTCGGTTCTGGGAGAGTCACTGTGGAAGTGGGGTGAGGGCACAGACGTGGGGAGGGAGGATCTACTAACTGTAAACAGACATCATCAGGAGTTCAGATCGTCTGGCCACCGGATTTCCTTGCCATAGGGAAGCCACCCCACCCATGCGCCTGTCCTCAGCTTCCCTAGCTGTGTAATGGGGATACACTCTCTCCCCTTCCCGCTATCCGCCTGACCTAACAGCGTGAGAAAGACGAGAAGGAACCCCCAGTTGCTGGCCTCCAGGCCCATCAGGTCCTCCTCCCACTTTGGCTTTGGCCTTTTGTACCGGCCCCACGTGACCTGCCCGGCCGGCTCTTCCCTCCTGTCCCGCCCCGCCCTCCGGCCTTTCCCGGCTCTCGGCGCAGCTCTTCCCGCTCCTCGCCCGCCACCCTTCGCGCTTCCCCTTCTACCTCCCCCTCGCCTCCCTCCCGGGCTGTTCCCTCTCCCTCCCCTAGGCAGCCGTTCCCTCGCGACGCTTCCCCTCCCCCCGCGGCTGTTCCGCCGCCTCGCCTCCCCTCCCCCCGGCCGGAGCTCACTGTCTCCAAGATGGCGGCCGTGTCAGTTTGGGGCATCTCCGCGGTCCGGGCCGGGGCCCCGGGATCCCGGTTCTCTTCCCCCCCGGTAAGTAGCCGAGGAGCCACCGGCGAGCGTCCCTGGCCGTCGAGCCCGAGGCTGAGCTGCTCCGGGGCCCGCTTCGCCGCTTCGCGGGGTCGGCGGGCCGCTGCAGGCCCCGCCGCGGCCTGCGCCGCCTCCCGCTGCTCTGCGCCAGGCCTCGGGCTGGGGCGCCGAGGCCGCCCCCTCGCGCCCGGCCGGCGCCCGGCTCCCCCCGCCCGCGCCAGCGCGCCGCCCGCCGGCCCGGCTCTCGCGGGCCCAACGCCCCCACCGCCCGTCCGCCCGCCCGCCCGCCCGCTCGCCGGGCCCAGCCCCGGGGAGCCGGCGGGTGGGCGGGCGGCGAGCGGCCCAGGCCGCGGAGCCTCGGGCTGGGCTGTGCCGGCGAGCCCGCTCTCCCTCGGGGGCGCGCCCACCGCCCCGGCCCCACCTGCGCCCGGCTGCTCGCCGCCCCAAGCCGGCCGCGGCTCCCTTTGCCCGCGCTCCCGGGCGCTCGCTCTCCGGCTCCGGCCGGGTTCGCGGAGATCCGAGCGGGGCCGAGGCGGTAAGTGGGGGTGACAGGCTGGCGGGTGTTATGGTGCGGAGGAGGCAGCACGTGTGGTGTTGTGTCTGTCGGGCTGTCAGCCCCTGTGCTGGGAGGGGAGGCGGCGGGCTGCCTGTCAACCTTCGGCCGGTTTGGCCGGGAGCTGCGGGACCTGTCAGGCTCCTGGGGCAGCCTGCGTGCCACAGACGCCTCCTTTGAACCGGCCACTGTGGAGTTTAGGATTTGGAGGAGCTGGGAAGGGGAGATCCATTGCCCTTAACTCTTTCACGTGATTTCATTGTTAACTTAGTCCTCGGGTTCTGTTTCCATCTAATGGGAATGGCGGAGCTACCCATTGGCAAGCTGCGGGGCTGTGCGGTTTCAAGTTTTTAAAGTTTCTCGCTCTTTAAAAAGAGAGCGCGAAGATGTGTTTGGGGGTGGGGAGTGGAGACCGGGGAAGGACGGTCGGAAGCAAGTTGCACTTTCTCTCCAGCCGCGGGTGTACTTTCAGAGAGTTACTGCTCACGTCTGCAGGCGCTTTACTTTCGGGAGACCTGGAGACGCGTGAAGACCCTGGCCGGAGAGACAAGGAGTAGCTGTCATTCATTCGTTTACCTCCGAGCAGAATCAATTAGGACGTTCGCAGCCTCTAAAACTCAGATTGTAGCCTCTCGTTTAGTTTAGCCTTGATGTCTGTGTAATGAACGTTCTTGGAGTAATAATACTATGATTTCTGTCCTCTCGAGACTCTCACCAAAATGAAGCATAGCTCTCTCAGGGGGGCTTCTTTTTAGTCAGCTAATTTAAAAATAAATCTTGGCTCAGGTTTGAGTGTTTACTTCAGTCTTTTTTTTCCTATTAGAGTTAATAGGACTGTAGCTTTCCTGATATCTGTTAGTTTTCCTTTTGATCTTAATGTCAGTCTTAATAATTGCTGCGGGAGCCATTTTCATTGTTTATATTGTAATGTAAATGCTCTTCAGAATAAGCGCAGACGTTCTAAAAAAAAACAAATTATTTTTTGGAAGCAAAGAAGTTAATTTGATTCAGAATTCATTATTTTGGTGATTTTCAAAAAGACCTGTTTCTGCCAAATTCTTTTGTTTGAAAGAATATTGACTTTGATCCTGGAGAGGAAATGTATTTATGTGCTTGTGTTTTACTCATTAATGTACATTTCAGGTCAGCAATCTTGAATCTGTGAGATCTCTTTAAACCTGCCAACAGGCAATATAGTACATTTGATATGTAGTGTGTGCATTTTTGAACCCAGTGATTCTGGGCATTTCTCAGTGCTAGTTTTTCTATCTGTAGCTTGGTTATGAACGTTTTGACAGTTTTTCCCTTCAGTTTATTGAATATTAGTATTTTAGTTCAGTTTAGGACAAGCTGTCAGCATGTAATTCTTAAAATTTGAATGAATTTGGATTTTAAAATTCTGAAGGACTTTTCTTACTTGACTTTCAATATTATTTTTGTTTCCATTTGGAATTTTACAGTAATATTGTATGTACAGTATGAACTTGATCTGTGTAAATTGCATATTTTGTTTCTTATATAAAATAGTTAAAATTTTCTCAATGGTTTTTTTGCCTAATTGACTTTTTATGCAGTTTGAATGTCTGGAATTTTGAAAGATGAAAGATTCACTCTTACTTTCATTGCAGGATTCTTTCTACTAATCCAGATACTTGTTGAAGTGCTGAATAGTTTCTTGGGGAAAGATGTCGAGGAAGAGTTTCAGTTCATAGACTGGTGAGCAGAGATTGTGGAGTACAGTATAGTCAGCACCCTCCTGCTAAGTTGTAGCCTAAGGTCATTCATAGTGCATCTCATCTTGTTTCCTCATTGTATCCTAATTATTCATCTTTTTTTTTTTTTCTTTTTTACCCCAGTGGTTCACATACGTAATTGTTTTTGGAATGTTGATAGAAACTTGTTAAAACAAGTAAACACTTGGTATTTGATTATTTTTAAAGACTAGGATGTCTCAGTTACAGCTTATTTATGAAATGGGACTTGATAGAAAACTGACCTTGTTTGTTTTTCAGGCATAAGATGCACATTTTTCTGCTGGGAAGGAGATGTTCTTGAGTTCTAACAACTTTATGAAGAGATCCATGTGTGGTGCTATTGAGAAGTTTATTGGGAAATTTAAAGACATTTCAAATAACAGGTTGTTTTGGTTTCTAAAGTGAAAGTGAGGAGGCTCTCTGTTTTGTGAAAGGAGAAAGGACTCAGGCCAGAAAACTTGTATGCTATGGTTAACTGGTTCCCAGCCTCCGAGAATGTTGTTTTCCATGGTGTAAAACTTACTCAGCATCAGGATAAGGGATAACGACTCTATGGATATACAGAATCCTTCACCATGGTAAAACTCGCTAACCCGCTGTATACGGAGTGGATTTTGGAGGCCATCAAAAAAGTGAAGAAGCAAAAACAGCGTCCTTCAGAAGAAAGGATATGCAATGCAGTGTCTTCATCCCATGGCTTGGATCGTAAAACTGTTTTAGAACAATTGGAGTTGAGTGTTAAAGATGGAACAATTTTAAAAGTCTCCAATAAAGGACTCAATTCCTATAAAGATCCTGATAATCCTGGGCGAATAGCACTTCCTAAACCCCGAAACCATGGAAAATTGGATAATAAACAAAATGTAGATTGGAATAAACTGATCAAGCGGGCAGTTGAGGGCTTGGCAGAGTCCAGTGGCTCAACTTTGAAAAGCATTGAACGTTTTTTGAAAGGTCAGAAGGATGTGTCTGCATTATTTGGAGGCAGTGCTGCCTCTGGCTTTCACCAGCAGTTACGATTGGCTATTAAACGAGCCGTTGGCCACGGCAGACTCCTTAAAGATGGACCTCTTTATCGGCTCAACACGAAAGCAACCAGTGTGGATGGGAAAGAGAGTTGTGAGTCTCTTTCCTCTTTACCTCCAGTGTCACTCCTTCCACATGAAAAGGATAAGGTAAGAGTGGCATATGTATCAGTGTTCATAGAGCTGATGATAATAGCATGCTACAAAGTCACATTTCTAAGAAGTTATATAGGAGTTACCTTCAGGTTTTGTGTTTGGGGACTCATGGAATGATCACTTCTGGTTTTTTATTGGTGAGTTGTTAGAATTCATAGCTGCCAGTTGTCCTTTACTTAGAAATATTTGACGCCTGAGTGTATTGATGTACCTAAAAGAACAGATTTAGATAAGAATTTAACAGTTAGAACATATTTAGATAAGCATGCAACTTTGAGGCTGTTGTAAGTTCTTATAATGTCTTACACCTGGAAGTTGATGAGCCCTTCTGAATGTTGGAGACTTGGATTTGAAATAAGCAGGTGACTCTAAGAACCTCTTTTCCTTTTTTTCTTTTTGTTGCACATTATCATTGGGCAGGAGTGAGACTGATTCTCCTGACCCATAGTAGTAGCTAGGGATTTTCATCGCTTCGTATTTCTGTTGTATTCTAACTTTCTGTCATGTAATCTTTGCATAGGATGAAGTCTTCAGTGTTATTGTTTATGGCAGGTGTAACTACATGGGTCAGGAATAAAGTACCCTTTATTCCTAAAGTTCTGTGGAGTTGTGAGTTTTGATAAACAGTGGTATACCTTACTGTGTTCTGTATGTCATGCTGTTGTTTTGTGCAGTTGAAAGTACACTAAGAAACAGCAAAATTTGGCCCTTAAATAAATATTGGGGGATGAGAATTTTGTTAGTAGCGTTTTTTTTTTTACATAGACATAGCGTCTTAGCTGTAAATTTATTTCAGGTGTTCTGAATGTAGTTCTGGGGAGAGTGGTAATACTGATGCACACTAGTACACAGTGTAGTCAAATAATCTTTGTCTTGCCTAAGACCAGGGAAGCTACTTCTAGGATGAGGAGATTGTGAAGTTAACATTGAATGTATTTAAAAATATTTGAGATTCAATCTAAATATATTGCGTTAATAGCCCACCTGTAGATTTTTGTTTAAATAGCTATTGAAAATTAACAGTATTTTTCTTTGATGAAGTTTTTAGAGATATATTTTAGGGTTGTTTTCCTTGTGAACTTTGAAATAGAAACATTATCTTACTGTTATTACCCTTGAAATGATTCTGATAGAATGGTTCTTTGTCATTTGAGCATTTATTAAAAGTGTGGTATTAAAAATTCAAGCTGGCCAAGTAACTAAAATGCTTTATTCTGTAGTTCAGTCCTATAGAACTCCTACTGTAAGAATTGTTTCTTGATCCCATATGGCTGAAGTTAAAAGAAGTACAATGATTGAGTCCTGAAATTGTTACCAAATGATCTATAGGTTAAACTACATGGAAACAGGAAATAATTTATAGTTTATAATGAATTCAGTGTTCTATATGTGAGTATTATATATATTATAAATTCTTGTTAGAACACCTGGGTGCTTGCTTTTATTATAGTTTCCCTTGCTTGAATTAGATATTTCAATTTTTAAGAATATTAGTCCTACATAAAATGACAGTTTTGCATATTTTTAATAGGTAGCTAATATAGTACACTATAGAATGGATCTGAGGCCTATCACCCTAGGATTTTACTTTTGAAAGGGACCTTGAGAGCCATCTAACCAGCAATTCTTACTTTGCAGCTGATCTGAGACCTACATTTAAAAAAAGTTTAATCCAGTAGAGATTTGCTGGTTTACTTTGGTTAGAAGTATCTTTTTGGTTACGTAACTGTAATATATAGTGTTATTAACCAAAGTATCTAAATTTGGAGTATACATTTAGGAAAATTGAGTTTCATTGAATGGAGACTTCTATATATGTGTATGGGTCTGAATTGAAGACTAATTTTATAATATCTATGAAATAAGAGTTGGTGAGATCTCCTATATATTTTTAAACAGTCTTATTTTCAGTAGTGATTTTCCTTAGTGCTTCCCCCAAGGATAGGAAAAACTCACATTCCAAATGATAATACAGTGAGGAATTATTCCTTCTCCGAACAGATTATATGTTTACTCTTTACATTGTTTTTTTTAATCTACTTTCTTTCCTCTTTTTAAAATTGATTGGTTTGCTATTATGAACCTAGGTATTCTGAAAAAAATTAGAGTGTATTCAACAGTGATGGAGAAGGAAGAATGTAGGCCAGGAGTAGTTTAACTTTTAGGCCTTAATTTAGCAAATGGCTATTGAGCACCTATTGGGGGCCAGACACTCTCCTTAGAACCTACATGGCATTATTTCAAGTTCCTCTTTATTTTTATCTATATCAATTTTAACTTTTATTTCTTTGGGATAGCAAACTTTGGAAGGAACTGTAGAACTGTATGTTAGATTACCAACAACTGAGTGGTTTTTGCTACTTCTGTTGGGATCAGCTGTGTAGAAATAACTGTATTTTTAAGAGTTTGTGAACACACTTGAAGTTACTTGTGTTTTCATGTTGATAAATAGTGAGGAAAATCCATGGGATACTGTGATGTAAACGTTTTATCCATGTTGTAGGGGAAATTTCTGAGCTAGCTTTAGTATTGTGGTACTTTATGATGAATTTGTTTAACTTGATGTGTTTACTATGTGCCTGGCATTACTTTAAAGCTGTACATATAGTAACTTTTTAAATTCGCATACAACTCAATGTAGTAGGTACTGTCATCTTACAGGTGAAGAAACTGAGGCGTAAAAGAGGTTTAGTAATTTCTCCAAGTCACAGAGATATTAGTGGCAAAGCTAGGATTTGAACTTGAGTAGTCTGGTTCCAGTCTTTATAACAGCTATATCTGCTGCCTCTTGGGAGTTGTTACATATAATTCCTGTCACTGCCATCAAGTACACAATTGTGAATGTTCTTGGTGTTAACTTCATAGCACATTCTTTAATTACATTATTTTTTATATAATTTTATATTTTTAATATTTTTATATTATATTATTGCTATATTATAGTTATGTTACATTCTCTAATTATTTTATTTTTTTTGAAAGATTTTATTTATTTGACAGAGAGAGAGAGAGAGAGAGATCACAAGTAGGCAGAGAGGCAGGCAGAGAGAGAGAGAGGGGAGGAAGCAGGCTCCCTGCTGAGCAGAGAGCCCTGCGAGGGGCTCAATCCCAGGACCCTGGATCATGACCCGAGCTGAAGGCAGAGGCTTTAACCCACTGAGCCACCCAGGCACCCCACATTCTCTAATTATATTATCTATCCTTATTTTCCCCTACCTCCACCCCTTCATGGTTTGTGTCTCTTTTTCTCTATCATAGACTGGATTTTAAAACTGGCTTTGAACCAGTGAAAAGAATGTATCAGAAACCAGAGATTATGAAAAACCTAGTTTTGTATACCTGAGGTCCATAAAAAAATTGTTTTGTCTACATGATATTCTGTTTTATTTTTTTTCTTGAGGCTAATGTCTGTGCTTATTTTCATTTTATCTGTTACTGAAGTTTTTTGATTTTCAGTCTGGAGTTTGTTGCATGGCTGTAATAGAGTGCTTTCATTTGGGGATTCAGAATGTTGCTTTCCCTGGAATTGTGGCATATAGGTGAGGGTGATAGTGTGAAACTGGCTTAAATAACAATTGGCCCCTTGCAAATTTCTTCCCTTTTGAAATACAGATTTTACTCTAGGATAATTTGTTCATTTATTTCATTTATTCATATTCATTTGGGAAACATTTAAGATGCCTACCATAACAATGAATTTCAGATTAAGGTCTTGTTGAGGATTAAAGCAGAGAGAGGTGAAATATTTTTGGGATTCTTTTTTAGTTTATAAAATGTAACTTTTAGGGGCGCCTGGGTGGCTCAGTGGGTTAAAGCCTCTGCCTTCGGCTCAGGTCATGATCCCAGGATCCTGGGATCGAGCCTCGCATTGGGCTCTCTGCTCAGCGGGAAGCCTGCCTCCTCCTCCTCTCTCTCTCTCTCTCTCTCTCTGCCTACTTGTGATCTCTTTCTGTCAAATAAATAAATAAAATCTTAAAAAAAAAATGTAACTTTTAGTTTTTCACAGTCATTGTTGTTCAGCACAATTAAGTGTTGTCAATCCCTGAGAAATAATGAGCTGTTTCTTGTGTGAGGCTGTATTATTTGAAATTGTGATGATCTGTATCTTTCGACACTGAGTCTTGGAAGGAACCTTTTCAGGAATAATTTTCTCCTTGATTTCAAACTTCTCTGGGTTCATTTTAACACAGAAAAATGTACTTGAATATATATAGCTTATGTTCCATATTACTAATCCAGAAAACTATACTCTTGTGATAATCAGCCACATCATTAAAGTGTTACTCTGTTGAGTAGTGTTGTGGAACAGAATTATAATTTGCCAAAGCATTACAGTTGGAAAGGGTAGAGAAAGTATCGTCAACTAATGTTATTGTTTAGTTTATTACCCAGCTAGGTACCCTGGAGGAGAAAGATCAAGTGATAAATTTATAGCCTTTTAAAATAAGTTCTATCTCAATGCAATAAACTCTTAGTAGAATCCAAATTATTTTGTTACTGGAATTTGACATTTTAAATTCACAGAGTAAGTGGAGCTTTGATGTAGAATTTGAGTGGAAATATGTTTTCAAGTTACCGAGTTAATAATAAAGTTTTGATTTTGCTATTTGGAAATGGCCTTTATAGTAAAATTGATGCTACATCATTTTTTTGGTGACTCTAAATGTTGTGGGCCTGGAGGAGAAGCTGGCTAGAAATAAAATTTGTTACTAACAAGTTATTGAGGTAGATTAAATATAATTAGGAATTGACTTTGTCTCAGCAGACTTATTCTTATTTAAAAACTCCAGAATTTTAAAAATAACTCAGAGATATATTTGTAATGCAATACAATCAACTATGCAGGCAATTTTTGGTCTTCTGTTTAGCTTATGAACTGTGTGTGTTTGGTTCATTTTCAGCCCATGACACACCCTGAAAGAAAATTTGAGCTACTGAAGCAAACCTTTGGTTTGCCATTGCTAATCAAAACTTCTATACCCAACCAATGCACG